TTTTTGCGGAACCGGGGATTGAACTCAGGCCCTTGCGCTCACCAGGCAAATGCTTATTCTACTGAGCCATCTCCCTGGCCCTTTCTTTTCTTTTAGACAGGGTCTCATTCTGTAGTTCAGCCTTTGAACTCATGGATCCCAGGCTGGCCTCAAACTCACAATGATTCTCCTGCCTCAGCCTCCCAAATGCTGGGGGCTCACAGGTGTGCTCCCCACACATGTCCTACTCTGTATGTATGGAGTAGTTCACAGTGAAAGGAGACAAGCAGAGATGGAGGGAGAGTGTGCTGTCCCTGCAGGAGCATCTCAGGGTCTCCCCAGGTGTGCCTTCTCTCGGGAGGGAACACCGGATCCTTGCTCAGCCAATCAGAAGCAGTCTTGAGAATTTGGCTGCTGTGATGGGAAATTTTAGGATCATTTCATCAAGCCAATACAGTGAGTCTGGGGTCCCTGAGACAACAACAGGGGAGCCTGAGAAGCCATTAAAGAAGAAAGGAGAAACCAGGCCTTGTTCAGGAACCTGGATCAAACCATCTCTGAAGTAGATGCCTACCCGCCCTTCTTTCTTTCTTTCTTTCTTTCTTTCTTTCTTTCTTTCTTTCTTTCTTTCTTTCTTTCTTTTTCTTTCTTTCTGCATTTGGTACAGGGTCTACAGGGTCTCACCACATAGATCAGACTCATAGTAATCCTTCTGTTTTCAGCTTCCCAAGCGCGGGGATTTTAGGTGTGCACCACCACGCCCAGTCTCAATCACTGTCTCAGCGTGCTCCGGGAGCAGAGCTGGCACGGCATGCCAGGGATCGAGCCCCAGCTGCTGCACTCTGCCTAAGCAGATGCTTTCCCCTGCTGAGCTATGTGGCCGGCCCTGTGCTTTAATGATGGCTACAACAGTTTCACTTGCTTTTTTTCTATCACTTGTATCCACCCATCTTTCCAGCCATCCCTACATTCCATCTTTGCACCTCTCTACTTGTTGGGGTGCCAGGTCACCTTAAGACCACAGGGGCATTAGGAAGCATTCTCCACCCCCAGAGGAATAGATGGGTGGGGAAGACAAAGTGAGTTGTTTACAGGCTTATACTTCCAGCTGCTATTGTGAAATTTGGAGCTGGAAGGACACTGAGGTCTTGGGGACATATGGGGTAGGGTGGGATGCCCAGGTCACCTCTTCCTGTTCACCTCCAGGGGCCACCTTCACCAGGTGGGCTCTAGCTAGACCCCCTGGGGCAGGAGGGACCACTTGGCCTGTCCCCAAGTCCAGCAGGGAGATGAAAAACTCTGGGAGGGTGGGACTGGGCGGGTGTGTTCCCTTTTCCCCAACTGGGCCAATGCTCGCACTTCAGATGGGGCCCCTGGGAGGTGCTCACCCCCCCCCTCCGCCACCATAAAAGGCCCCTGGTCCCGCCTGGGTCAGTGTTCGACCTGTGATCACCATGGCGGGCCTGGTAGTTCTGTTGCTCTTGGGGGCTGCGGTGTGTGGTGAGTGGGCCTGAGGTGTGGGGGTTGGGCTGAGGTCCCCCAGTCCCACAAACACCAGATGTGAGGGTGGGAGCATGCCTGTCATCCGGCACTTAGGAGACTGTGGCAGGAGGATCGCTAGGAATTAGAGACCAGTCTGGGCGACATAGTGGGTCTCTGTTTCAAGAAAGAAACACTACCACCACCACCACCAAAAAAACAAACAAACCCCAAAATCAAGGATTCTCAAAACTCTGTTGAAATCGGAGCCTTCACAAGTCTAAACTTTGCCCACAGCAAAAATTTAAAGTCCTACCGTGGAAACCAAGGCCTGTGGGCTTTACGGGGCTTCAAGGAGCATTAGGTTTAGCTGTCCCACTTTCCTTGGGTCGGGATGTAGTGCTGGAATTGGGCCCCAACAATCTCTATGGCTCGCTCTGTCTTGGGCATCCACCGCCCTACTAGGTGTCTGGGTTTTCAGCCGCTTGAACCGCACGTGACAGTGATGAGCCTGCCGGACTGGGAGGTCCAGGGAGGGGGCTGTACCCTGATCCTCACACCTCTCTCCCCAACACAGCGGCGCAGCCTCGCGGCCGGATCCTGGGCGGCCAGGAGGCCGAGGCGCATGTGCGGCCCTACATGGCTTCCGTGCAGGTAGACGGCAGACACCTGTGCGGCGGCGTCCTGGTGGCTGCGCAGTGGGTGCTGAGCGCCGCACACTGCCTGGAGGAGGCGTGAGTGCGGGGCTGGGCAGGGCTGGTAGGGCCCTGCGGGGCGCGACTCTGATCTCCTCCCCTCCTTCCAGGGACGGCAAGGTGCAGGTGCTGCTGGGCGCACACTCACTATCGCAGCCCGAGCCCTCCAAGCGCCTGTACGACGTGAGTCGCTTGGTGCCCCACCCGGACAGCAGTCCCGACACCATTGACCACGACCTCCTCCTGCTGCAGGTCAGCCTCGGCCAGCGGTGCCTCGCCCCCATCTCGCGGCCTGCGCGGGGGTCTTCCTGCTTCGCGTACTCCGCCCCTGACGTCCCCGCCCCACTCTCCACAGCTGTCAGAGAAGGCGGTGCTGGGTCCGGCCGTGCAACCCCTGCCCCTGCAGCGCGTGGACCGCGACGTGGCACCCGGTACGCTCTGCGACGTCGCCGGCTGGGGCGTGGTCAGCCACTCAGGTCGCAGACCTGACCGCCTGCAGCACGTGCGCCTGCCGGTGTTAGACCGGGCCACCTGCAACCTGCGCCGGTACCACGATGGCGCCATCTCGGAGCGCATGATGTGCGCCGAGAGCAAGCGGCGCGACAGCTGCAAGGTGCGCAGTCAGAAGAGTGGGTAGGATTGAGGAGGGGGCGTGGCGAATCGGTGGGCAAGGCAGTGAGGGCCGGGGCTGAAAGGGGTCGTCTCCCACAAGGGTGGAGCGTGTGAAGGCGGAAGAGGGGTGGCATCTAAGGAGGGTTGAAGAACAGGGCTCATAAATTGACTGGGTATGGTGTGCAGAAGCCCGAAGAAGGGGCGGGGCCGATAGGAAAGCTGCAAGGACGGAAAGGGCGAGTCCCCGTCCCGAGAGGGCGGGGCGCTCAAGAGGACAGACTCCATCCGCGGTAGGGCTCGAGGAAGAGTCCCGGCCGGAGATAGAGGCGGGGCGATGACTCACGGCCCCGCCTTGCAGGGAGACTCGGGCGGCCCGCTGGTGTGTGGAGGCGTGGTCGAGGGCGTGGTCACCTCGGGATCCCGCGTGTGCGGCAACCCCCGGAAGCCGGGGATCTACACGCGCGTAGCCAGCTACAAAGCCTGGATCGACAGCGTGCTGGGCGAGGGCACAGCGGCCTGAGCAGAACTGTAGGCGGCCAGCACTGGGCACACAATAAACGCATTCAAATCTGATTCAGCCAGTTTTTCTTGAGCACCTGCTGCCTGCAAGACCGCGAGAGGGGCGGGTTAGGGCGCCGCCTCACACCAGCAACCTTGCTTCTCTGGCTACGCTGTGCTGATGCGTGCAGAAATCCCTGAAATTGTGCCCTTGAACCTGTGTCGTAGAAGGGGAAACGGGATCCCAGGGGCCGGAGTGTCTCCTGGGCTGGAGAAAGCTCAGAACAAAGTCCAAATTCAAACCCAGAGCTGGGTGCTGCTGGGGCCATAGTGAGGTGGCAGGTGGTGTCTGGAGAAGCCACGCCTTGTGTGCTAAGGAGGTAAGGGGGCAGAACCCAGGACCTGGGCACCTCCCTCCACCTCAGAGACCACTCTCCAGGGCCCAGGACCTAAGCTTGGCCCTCAGAGACGCTCAGGGCCTTCCCCGTGTGGAAGAGACCACGTCTGGGATGGGGCCTTGTGCTCCATGGGAAATCGCATGTGGACCCAGAACTTGGTTTTCTGCTCCATGATGCTGTCCCCTTGACCACCCTCATACACGAGCATCTGTTGAGCAACTACTTACAACGTGCTGGGGGCTGTTGGGCAACAGGGTGTTATTTGCTGGGTGGCCTTGTGACAGGGATGAGACCATCTTCAGTGTGTGGACAAATCCCTGTCATTTTTTTTTTTTTTTTTTTTTTTCAGACAGGCTCTAGCTATGTAGTTTAGGTTCATCTTGCTATGTAGCCCAGGCTGGTGTTGAACTTTTGGTTCCTGCTTTAGCCTCATAAGTGCCAGACCTACAAGTGAGCATCACCACACCCAGCTTTAAAGGGTTTTTTTTTTTTTTTTCAGAACCAGGGATTGAACTCAGGCCCTTGTGCTTGCCAGGGAAGCACTTATTCTACTGAGCCATCTCCCCAGCCCCTAAAGGGAATTTTTTTAAAAAAGAAAAATCTAACAAAAGGGAATTTTTAGCCACACCAAGTGGCACATACTGGTAATTCCAGAACTTGGGAGGCTGAGGTAGGTAGGAGGATCAATGCAAGTCCTGCTGTGTTACATAGTGAGTTCAAGGCCAGAACTATGTTTCTGTCTCTGTATCTCTCTTCTACAGACAAAGATAAACAGATTTTTTTTGGGGGGGGGTCCTTTTTGAGACAGGGTCTTACTATACAGTTTAGGTTGGCCTTAAACTCAACGATCCTTGTGCCTCAGCCTCCTGAGTCCTGGGATTACAGGCATCACCACATCAAGCAATAATGGATCATTTTTATAACTTAGGAAGTATGAAGAAAATGCTTGCCATTTATTTCAGATTCAGAATTTGCAGCGTGCCCTGCATGGGTCAGCACTAGGGACAGTGACATGGGCCAGGTGCAGTGCTGCCTGCATGTAAGCCCACTGTGAAGTGCGGGCAGCTTCTATGATCCAAACAAATGAAATGGAGGCAACAGGGAGCCCTCTGACCAGGGATGGCTGCTTCTTGCTGTCACCCCACAGATCTAATGGTGCTCAGTCACACATCAGCTTGGTTAATACCCTGGAGACAGGAAGGACAGGCACAGCTTTTGTGCCCCCGGGGACAGGCTGGGCTGTGTGGGCGGAAGGAGTCTCCTGTGCAGGGTGGCTGGCTGACATCACCTGCACAGGAAGGCAAGGCTGGGGCCCTAAGGGGAGCTGTCTCAAATTGTTGCTGCTTTTGTTTTGTAGCACTGGGGATTGAACTCAGGATCTTGTGCTCATCAGGCAGGTACTTATACCACTGAGCTCCCCGGCTGTCTCAAGTTCTTTTTTGGTGGAACCGGGGATTGAACTCAGACCCTTGAGCTTGCCAGGGAAGCACTTATTCTGCTGAGCTATCTCCCCAGCCCTCAAGTTTTTTTTTTTTTTTTTTCCAGAACCGGGGCCCTTGCACTTACCAGGGAAGTGCTTATTCTGCTGAGCCATCTCCCCAGCCCCATCAGGTTCTGACAGTGGCTTTTATGAACCACGGTGGAGGGTAGCCTGTGGGGTTTCATACCTACTCAGATCCAAGAGTGCCTGGACATTTTCAGCCCCATGCTGTGGTCAGTGGGAGCCACAGAGGGCTCTAGGAGGAGGTGGTGGTGCCAAAGGAATGCTGGGGACCATCTGCTGATCCTGGCCTCTGAGAACTGTGCCAGGGGACAGGTCAGGCTTCCCTACTGTGGACCTCAGAAGTGGAACTGTGGAGAAACAAGGTTGTCAGCTGGGCATGGTGATACACACCTGTGATCCCAGCACTTGAAGGCTGAGGTAGGAAGATCATCGAGAGTTTGAGACCAGCCTGGGCTACAAAGTGTGCTCAAGGCTAGCATGAACTGTATAGCAAGACCCTGTCTCAAAAATACATACACACACAAGAAAAGAAGGAAGGAAGGAAGTTGTCATGAAATTTCATGGTGGGGACAAGGAACAAACATCCCAGTCTACCTACTTGGTCTTGGCATACAGAAGCTGTCCACAGTGGCTATCCCCAACCTGTGACCTGTCCCTGGTCCCTACCCCGTCAGCTTGTCTGTGGTGGAAATTTCCCAGTAACCCATCCCAAACGAGGGAGGCCAGGCCTGGTGGCTTGGTCTCTAGGCTGAGGCCCAAGGGATGAGGCTGCTTCCTGTCAGCCTTGGTGGTGGCATTCTTGATGGATGTGACCTCAACCCACTTGGGCAAGGTGAATTAAGTAAAGCAACGGTGTGGTGTCAAGGATCATGGTGGCGGGATCATTGTAAAAGACTGAGAAAATCTTGCAGGGATTGAGGTTGTGGCCTTTGTCTGGCCTGCCTGCTCACACACCTGTCCCCAAGGCTGGCCAGCTATGCTACAGGCAGGTGGGAACAAACGGGCCCTAGTGCTTCCTGATGTGCCTGGCCCCATCACCTCATCAGGCTCTACTGCCTGTGGCTCTGGGGCACCAGCTGCTCTGCTTCACACTGGTCCAGGCTCAGACACAGCCTGGCACCCCTACGACAGCAAGCAGATACCCTGTGGGGAGATGGCTCTGCAGGGTGCAAACAGCAACCAATTATCGTGTTCCAGGCAGGTCGTGTTTGCAACAGCCCTTCGCCTGAAGCCTGTGGGGGACCGTGACATAATCGGTGGCAGCGCTTGTAGCACAAGGCTGGACCCCTGGGGAACCAGGATTGAGTTTCAGAGATGCAGGGCAGAGAGGGACAGACAAGACAAAGTGAGGGGACAGCTGAAAAGAACCCCCAGCCCCCTCCCCTCTGCTCCCAGCACATACCAGGTGCTGCTTCGCAAGTGGGCGACCCTGGCCTGGATAGACACACAGCCTGCAATGACCCTGGGGCTGGAGGTCCAGCATGGACTGTGGTGACCACACAGTTTAGTGGGCCAGGCCCCAGGGTGAGGACAGGTTCTGCAGGCACAAGAGGAAAACTGAGACATATGGCTGAGTACCAGATATGTTCTAAAGAAGACTGTTACAAAAATAAAATAATAAAGGGAAATGCAGGGGCCTGACCAAGCCCTCTTTTTTTTCACTGAGACAGTCTCACCAGCTAGTCCAGGCTGACCTTGCACCTGCAGCTGTTCTGCCTCAGCCTCCTAAGTGCTCAACTACTCATTTGCCACCCTGCCAGGCTCCAACCAGACTCCCCTTTAAGGTCTCAGGTGCTCTGGACATGGGTGGGCACTTGCGGTCCTCAGGCAAGCTTCTAGGACCAGTGACAGAAAGCAGGCCCATGGCCCCACCTGCCGTGACCCATGCTGGGTGCAACTGTCCTGTGGGCCAGTCAGGGCCAGCTCAGGAGTAGCTGAGGGGCATTTTCCGCCACAGTCCCCCACACAGGCAGTTTTTGGTCCAGCGCTGCTCCCACTGCTTCACCGCAGTCGTCTTGTTGGGGGACTTGAGCATGGTGACACAGCCGCACCTGGGGATGAGCAGGTGGGAATGGCTCATGTGACCCCCACACAGCCCCTCCCAGAATGGCCACTGTCTGCAGACCACACCAACAGTGCCACAGACAGCATGACCTGTACCTGGCGCAGGCCTTGCATTCCTCTGTGGGGTAGGTGCCCAGGTGCAGCCTCCGCAGGTGGTCAATCTTGGGCTGCCCAGGAGCCCTGTGGAGAAGGGAGGGCATGAGGGGCGGGCACAGGGCCACCAGGGCAGTCCCCGTCTGGAGATGGTGGATAAGTCTTGGGTAACTGTCCTTTGGTGGGGCTGGGGGGGACTGCTGCCCCACACAGAGGGCCTGCTTGAGTGGGTGCCCAGTGCCTCTGGAATCATCCTGGCACCAGGCCAGTGTGGGCTGCCAGGGACAACCTGCACCCAGAGCAAAAGGAAGCCTGTGGTCCTTGGTGCTACAGAAGTGTGAAGGCAACCTTTTTTTTTTAGTACTTTGGATTAAACCCCGGGTCTTTGCCCTGAGCTACATCCCTATCCCTTTTTTTAATTCTAGGGCAAGGTCTTACTAGGCTGCTCATGTTGGGCTCCTGCCTCAGCCTCCCAGAGTGCTGGGGTGACAGGCGTGTGCCACCACAGCTGGATGTATCTGCACTGTTTGAGGCTGCTTCCCTGGCCCTGAGATGGGGTGGCCAACCCCAGCCTCAGTAGCACTGTGCAGTGAAGGTACGGGTCAGCAGGCCTGGAGGGCCTAGCCCTGAGGTGCAGGGAGAGGCTGTGTGAAGGCCCAGGGTCCTGGGAAAGGAGGGAGCCAGGCCGGATAAGCACTCACTACTGAACCACAGCCCCAGGCCTGAAGATTAGAAGGGGGCAGCCATGCTAGGCCCTGGGGCAACATGCAGGAGGTGTGGGCACATGGACATGGGCACCCAAGTGTGTGTGGCTGTGCAGAGAGACAGGGTGGGGTGGGGTGGGCACACCTGGCCAGGCTATCCAGCTGCGAGGTGGGCACGCTGCAGGGCAGCATGGGGGCCTTGCCGAAGTGCAGGCGCACAGGCTGCTTGGGCTGCAGGCGGCTGACTAGACCATCACTGACAGGCAGCCAGTCCAGCGTGGGCACCAGCAGCTGGCTGGGCAGCAGGCAGCA